AAAAAAAAAAAAAAAAGGAATGCGAACCGCGTCAGGTGCTACACAAGCAATAAACTCGGGACCGCTTCCCAAATGGATGAAATTATAAAGACAGGGTATGCACTAAACGAAAGAGTGACCCTCTACTCGAGGAGGTAAACACACCGGAGTGTCTTACCCGGCGGCACGCCTGGATTAACTCAGCAGACGCCCTCAGTTGCTTCAAACGAGAGACATACAAATTAGGATTAACAAAATGGGGATTCAAAAGAGTACAGATATAGCGTAAGGGAGAAACACACCACGAGGGGGGAAGCAGAGGAGAGGCAGATCAGACGCAGATCAGACGAAGATGAGACGCAGATCAGACGAAGATGAGACGAAGATGAGACGAAGATGAGACGAAGATGAGACGAAGATCAGACGAAGATCAGACGCAGATCAGACGCAGATCACCCGCAGAAACTTCTCAGCGCACATTGTCGCCATCCCAGAAGACTATCTTATTCCACTGGGTGAGGAGAAGCATCTTGAGTGCCAAATGAAAAACAGACGAGGCATGGAAAAGCCTAATCGTATCGTAGTGAGGAATGAGCCTCAATTTTTTGCACCTCACAGAAGCTGCCTGTAATTGGGAGCAGCGAACGCACTGGGGATATAATCTCTGCTTCGTGTCGTATAGTTTAAAAAAATTGAGTATCCGTCGGAGGAATTTCCTTTTTTGGTAATAAGCAATCATATCTTTAATGACTTGTACAGGTGGCTGATGATCTCCTATGAACCTGTCGTGGCAACTGACTCCACATGTGTGACAACCCGTCTCTTTGCAGAAGCGTCTCAGAACTTCTATTTCCCTCTTGGTGGCGTACTTCATGTCTTTGTTTAGACTCTTCTTTCGGTTGGAGTACACGCCCGGCATCTTCACGTCGCTCGGCGAGAATTTGTTGTACCTGCGGGGTTAGCGGCGGAGGGGGGGGGCGAGGTTAGCAGGGGTACGAGGTCACCCACTGGAGTGTTGGCCAATCTGATGAGGTGCTTAAGGGGGTTTCCCTAAAGTGGTCCTCCTACAATGGGCCATTCGTAGTGGCCTCTCCTTGTGACCACTTACGTGCCGCCCGAAATCTTAAAGAACAGATTTGTCAGCACAAAGTAGCGCAGATAATTAAAGGTAAAAAGACTCAACTTGTTGATGCGAGTCAGAACGAACTTCTTCGTACACTGGTACATTATTTCATATTTATTCGTTAGCTTTGTGTTTATATAGTAGTCGGAGCTATTGTATATGATTGTCTTCACGAGGTGTCCCTCGTACTGATTGAAGAGAGCTCGTATGAGGATCGCTTGGACAAATTCGCTTGCAACATTTAAATAATAATTCACCAGGTTAAGCTGGAAGAAGCCAATCACTCTGGAGACGTAGTTGGAGCCACTCACTTCTACAATGTAGGCCTGTGTCTTTTGCGAAACGATGTTGACGTAGTGGAAGAGGAAGAAGGACGCGGCCAGCTGGAGGAGGTACACAACTGCGGGGGGAGGAGCGGCACAATGAAGGTGGATGAGGCGCAGTCAAAGTGGAAGCGGCGCAGTCAACGTGGTGCAGCTCAGTGAACTTGCCGCTTCCCAGTGAACGTGCCGCTGCCCAGTCAACGTGCTGCTTCCCAGTCAACGTGCCGATACCCCGCGCAACGGCTTCCCACTCGCTGGAACTCACCGAGGAAACGCAACACGAGGGTGCCGAAGAAGCCAACCAAGCCGCGCAAGATGTTATTCTTTATATAGGTGCCCTCCAGGAGGTAAAACCAGTTAGTTAGCTGAGACGCCCTGTCGGAAAGAAACGTAGTGAGAAAGTGGACCGATAAAATGTCCGAAATTTTAGACACCGATCTTAAGCTAACATATCTCTTCAACAATTTGGGAGACTCTTTTACGAAATAAAAAATTCTTCTGCGATTTATGTTATGATATTTTACACTCTCCAAAGCACGGCAGCTATTATATATCATATCTACTTCATTTTTAAAAAAACATTCATTGCATAATCTCTTCCGAATGTTCTTCCCCTGACTGAATAGGACATTCAGCGGTACGTTGTAGCTCTGCTCATTTTTGTATATCGATTTGACGAAGAATAGGTTGATAAAGAATAGAAGCACCAGGGATAAGATAATCGAGATGATCTTCATTTTGCCGGGCAGGTGGAGGGTCTCTAGGGTCAGGCGGAAAGTCTGTACATTCGGATCGTCTGTCTAGGGCATGCCGCTTCTTCTTTCTTGGTGTCCAAACCTAACCAGTTTTCTTCACCTTCGCTACTTCTCCTTCTTATCCATCCGTCTGGGGAATGCCTCAAAAATGTCCGCGGAGGAAAAAAAAAAAAATATAACAAAACGGAGAGGAAGCGGGGCAACGGGGAAGGCACATTCCCAATCGGTTGAACCTTTTAAATTAAACCATAATGGGGGGAAGCGGTGAAAGGGGTGAAAGGGGTGAAAGCGGCGAAAAGGACAAACGTCGCTAAAGGGACAAACGCGAGGGAAGAGTCAAAATGGGCATGGAGGGAAATTGTACGCTGCCCAGCGCCTCTCCGAACGCGGGAAAACGTACCGCGCGGCGGGCGGAGAATTCGCGGAGAAGTGAAACAACTGGAGAGGCACATTTCATTCGGGCAGAGTGTGCAGTGCAAGGCGGCCCCGATAAAAAGAGGGGAAGAAAAAAGAAGGAAGCGTAACGGAAGAGTAACAGACGAATAACGGAAAAAAATAGAGAAAAAAATAGGAACGAACGGGAAAACTTGAGGCCTCCATATGGACAAAGCAGTAAAACCGAGATGAAGCAGCCACTATCGCATCCAGCCCCCCAAAGGCGCATAGAAGACAAATCTCCGCGCTTCGGTGTAAATTTCCAAGCAAGTGCACACATCACCACTTCTGTTTTGGGTAGAAGAGCTCGGCAAATTGGTTCGCGCTGACGAGCTGGCGAGTTTGCCAGGCCGCGCATTATCAGAACACAAAAAAAAAAAAAAAAAAAAAAAAAAAAAAAAAAAAAAAAAAAAAAAAAAAAAAAAAAAAAAAAAAAAAAAACTACGTCCATATGTGTATACACACACGTACGTGACAACACCGCACCGAAGCGCAAACGGTTTTACAAACAAGTTGGCCATGCACAAATCGGTTGCGGTTCAGAAGTGGGATAAAAAAAAGAAATATAATAAAATAAAAAAAAGGAGGAAGTAGGTATGGGTCAAAATGGCACATAACAAAAAAAAGGGGAATAAGTTAAAAAAAAAAAAAAAGATTAACAACTGCTGGGGAAGTACCCCCGGGGCGCCCTCAGAGAGGAAGGTAAATTTACCTCGCCGCGTTGCATCTCGCCTCTTCGCGTCTTGTATGTTCGCTTCTTGCTGCTCCCCCCCTCAGGCGAAGTAGGGAGTCAAAATCCAGCACAAAAAAATTTGAGAAAGAGAGAAAATGAGAATCAAAATGTTAATCCGCTTGACATTTAAGTGGTTCGACAAGCTGGAGTTATCGTGCACGTAGAGGTGAATAGACTTAAAGAGCTGCATCATCTGCACACTGACTGTGAGGTAAAAGTAAATCTGCGTCAATCGGTACATGATGCGGCTATTTAGGAAGAGGACGACACTGTAGGGGGTAAAGCTCGACGAGGGGGGTGTACTCATGCTTTTGAATGCATTGTGCGCGATCTTGTTTGCTAAGACGTTCGTATGCGACTCATCCTTGTCTAGTATCTCTTCTGGCACCCCGTAGAGAGACGCACACGTGAAGTGTAACAGGTAGAAGAAAAATTTTGTGACTATCAACCCACACAGTATTACAAACTTGTACGAAATGAATGACAGGATGTGGAGAAAGGAGAGGTTAATATCTCGACATGTTAGCAAAAATAGGAATTTAATAATGGCTGTTTCGAAGAATAGCAAGAGGAAGACATACGATGTTATGCTGAAGAGGTTATCCGGGTTAAATACAAAATTGTTCTTCTGAGCCGTCACCGTTAGTGTATACAGAAGGATGTACGTGATACTCGACATGAGCGGTATGTACAGGTCAGCTTTGAAGATACCCATATTGCTGCTGTAGTCTACATAGTTTATGTCATTTGAGTTGTGTCTCCCAACGTTCCCGCACTGTGCGTCGGTGCCACCATCTAGACTGCTTGCCCCGTTCACTCCCCCTACGGAGCTGACCCCACTAAGGTCACTTCCCATGCCGCTTACCCCCTCCCCTGTGCCCCTCTTTGGGTCGAAGAAAAAGCTCTGGTTCTGCGCAAACGGGCTACCTGCGGCCCCCTTAACGAGGCTAGTGCTCTCCTCCGTGCCACGCGCATAGCCTTGGGAACCTCCTTTGTTAAGTGAAAACGCAGATGTGTAATTCTTGTTATCGTGACGACCACTCCCCATCATCCGCTCCAAGTGGGTATACACATAATACGTCCTGGACTCACACAGAGCCTTCCGTATGTACACATATGGTACGAGAATGAAGAGAATTTTATTTACGACATAAGAATGAGTGACGTCAAAATATCCTCTCAGCAGGGATAACTTATTTCCAATAAAGCTGCCGTCATGACTTTCAATTTTTTTCTCGATCTCACTCATAACCATTTTGGCAACTCTCTGTTTCATTATGTTATTAATCGGATCATTTGTCTGTACTGTGTTCGTTAGACTTTCAAATATGTTATGCATAATCCCTTTGCTCGCTTTCGATTCCATGGTGTCTGTTCTGTTACTCCATCTCTCCGACTGGTGGAAGGGATTTGTATTCATTTGACCGGAACCCATGTTGGTATTTTCTCCTTTAAATGGTTGCGACGGGATAAACACCTGGTTTTTCATTTCCTGCTGATTATACATGCCGTCATTCACGAAGGGAAGGCGGCTGTCTGCTCCCTGCGTTTCGTTCTTCGGCCCAACATGGTGTGGGTACATACCTTCTCTTCTTCCTTCTTGACTGGGAACCTTGTTCGTTCTGTGAAAATTAGGGTTCACGGCTGACCCTCCGGGGTGGAAAGGTCCGCCTGCTGTGGGATAGATTCCACCGCTCACGACGTGACCGGCATCACCTGACGCGTAGAACTCGCTCCGCTTGCCGCCCCATACGGGGTGCGCGTTGACATAACTGGGTGACGCAGCACTGGGCGCGCCGAGGTCGCTGGGGTTGAGGAAGGTGTGCTGGAAGTTTGCGCCAGGGCGGTTCCCCAGGTTGCCACCGACATTGCCTCCGATGTGGCCTCCCACACTACCGCCGATGTGAGCTGCATCCGTCTCCAAACTGTAGATGGGCGGACCCGCCTGCTCATATCCAGGACCGACGTGCAGACTCCTCCCCACTCCGACGCCCGCACTCTCCACGTTGCCTTCGCTTGGCGACGCGTCGGCGTAGGTTCTATGTCCCATCATGACGTCTGCCCCCGACCTACCAGCCAAATTCATTTGGCTATTACTCATGTAATTCATGCTGCTCCATGACTCCTGTTCCTTCTCCTTGGCATTGTTCACCTTTCGCCGTCCGTGCACGTTGCTATCGGCATAGCTGTTGTTGTAGTTCATCTTTGGGGAGGGCTAACAGGCGCGCAGAGGGGTGGGACACCTCTTCTCTTCTTCTTCTCTCTCTCCTTCAGCACCAATGTGCGGACGTCTGAATGTACATACTCATTCGTCCATATGTACATCCGTTTGGCTAACTCGTACGTACGCAGGTGGAGCGCCAATTTTAAGAAAGAAAAAAAAAAATTATCCTGCATAAAGTCTCCTTCAATACTGGTGTACAAAAAAAAAAAATATGTACACGTTCAGGTAAATTGGCGTATATTGCGCACGAATGTGGGCAGTAGTAGCCAGGCACGTTTAACTTGCTCCAACTTACGTATGCAAAATGGAAAACGTTTAACTTGAGTTGAAATCGAATTGTAGCGGCTTAGCAGGGAATTAAAAAAGGGGCTGCGAAAGATGCAAAGAAAAGAAAAAGCAGAAAAAGGGAAAACAAAACCGGGAGAGAGAAAGAAGAAAAAAAAAAAAAAAAAAAAAAAACAACCAAATGTGGGGTATACAATCCCAATGCATACATCTCCATAGTGCCATACGCATGTTCGTTGCCCCTCCCCCGGTAATCGCGAGATCGCGGCATGGCATTTCGCGCATGGCAAAGGTGACTCCCAAGGCGCGGCAACAAACACACGCATATACAAAATGAGAAAGGCTAAGAAGATACAGATGCCTTCGCACAACAGGTGATGGTGTACATGGGAGAAAAAAAAAAAAACAGATTATTCCATTACTTGTTGCTCCCTTGACAACTTCTCCCATGGCACTCCCTCCGGCTTCGTTCAAAACGTCACGATAATTAGCAGCTACGTTAACTTCCGTAGGACGACGGGAGGGGAATTTCCTCTTGTGTGATATCCAGCCGAGCTTAGCACTTTTCTGTGCATCTTTACTTGCTGACGTGTTTACCTTTTTTTTTTTTTTAATCACCTCAGTAAACAGACGGTCATGGATGACTGGGTGGCACACCTCTCGATGGCACAGCGTGCCGTCTTCCGCCATCAGTGCCCTTCCACTTTTTCAGATTCCGCACTATGGTGAAGAGGGAACTTGTTCCCTTAGGGGAGGCTCTTCTCATGTGCGGGTAAACGGAATGGTGAGGTAAATCAGTGCCCCCGTCAGTCTCCCCCACGAGGTGATTTCCACACCGTGGGGGGAAAAGCAAAAATGATGAGGTCGCAAAGTTATCATAGGAAGCAGCAGACAAAATGGGACCCCCCCCCTGCCCCTCCTTTTGAGAGCGACTCCACTGCGACACTGAGCATGGACTAGTAACACGGCTTCCCTTTGTGGCGCACACCACACCGGGGGTTGACGAACCAACTTGCGAGATTCCCTCATGGTAGCGTCTGCTTATAGGGAACCCCCCTTTCCCCCTGTCAACTCATCAAATCCTACGGTACCCCCGCGAACGCACAAGTAGATGCACCACCGGTGAAGGCAAAAAAAAAGGTGGATGTTTGTAAACATTTCAGACCTTCTTCCATCATGGGGAGGACTAACCTTTACCCTCCGCATGCTTGTGGCCAGGTGGGCGAACCAACTCGTCGCAGTCGTATATGTAATCCTTACTGATAGCTGTCTGCAGAACTTCGTCTCGCTTTCCTTCGGTGAACAAATCGGCGTAGTCCTCCTTTTGGCAGAGACGCACGAGGGTGAATCCGTCCTTCGCGGCGAGGTAGTATCTGTACGGGGTGAAGCAATGATGCGGTGGAAGCAGTCCCAGGAGAGGGAAGCAAACGAGGAAAGACGCATCTCCGGGGGGAAGCAGTCCAAGGAGAAGGAAACAAACGAGGAAAGACACAACTTCCGGGGAAAGCACTCCCGGGGGGGTCGCATCCCGCTGCGCACCTACCTCCAGAAAACGCAGCTGCGCAGAGTGGCCACCTCATTAGCATAGTACTGCCCAGCTGAGTCCAAAATGTAAACCGTTAGGTTCTTCAAAGAGGTCAGGGAATAGCCAAAGGGAGGGACGTACACCTTCTTCAGTTCGACGCTTTTGTCTTGTCTATTAAGGAACTCCGTTATGTACACGTATTTTGCATTCTGATCGGTGTATAACCCATCCGACTGATTCGGTAAAGATAGTATGGAAGAGACGAAGTGTTTGTTGTAGGTACTTAGCTGATTTAGAATCTCCGAGTTGTACGAGAAGCTGCTAAAGTAAAGGCGTAGTGCCAAAATTAGGTAAAAGGTGTCGTCCGAAGAAATGTTCATTTCATCCTCCGAGATAGCACTTACATACGGGTTCAATACATCTATGCATATGTTCTTTAATTTTATATTTTTCCCCAAATAGATATACGAATTGACGAGAAAGAAGAAGACACTAATGTTTAGAAACGCCGGTGCCTTTCTCATAACATCGTCTATGTTCATATAATTCTGGACAACTTCATCCCTCACATGTTCGTATGTCTCTATCGATTCAATCCTGTTTTCACTTACGCTGTACAATACGTTGCTTAGCGACCTGTACAAAGACATGAAAGGTATATGTACCTTCTCCTGATCGTAGTAGTAGCTATTAATGCGGACATATTTTTCCCTCTTCGTCACAGCATCGTGTTTAATGATGTCACCTTTATTTCGTTCTAGATGAATTCGCAACTGCGTTACTGCCTCGAGGACGTAGTACAGTAATACTTTGGATGGCACTCTAATTCCACAGGTGGTTAAAAATTTTAGAAACTTCGTTCTGTGAAGAAAGTGTTGCTCATTCCCTTTTTCTACTTCACTCTTGTTCCCACTTGCATGCCTGTCCTGTACATATCTTTTTATGTTGGCCAATTCTGCATTTAGGATGTCTTTTCCACGTGACCCCATGCAAACGCGCACCATTTCGTCTTCTTTGGGATACCCACCCCAATACTCCTCAAAAATGGCTTTCACTTTTGCCTCATGTTCTTTTCTGCTCTGAACTAAGTCCTCCACTGAGTCTGCATAATTTAAAATGGCACTCTTCAACCCGTTTATGTCTTTCATGGAGGAGAAATAATGCCTTCTTCGTGTAGGCCGCACGCCGTTGCATCGTCGTTGCAGGGATGGGAGAACTCCACGAATTGCGGCGATCGTCTTCATTGGAGAAGCAGTTGGATCTATCATATACACAACATTGTTCTGTTTATGTGGAATAATTTATCTGGACATATAGGACTGCATTGTTGTGCGCCCCCAAAAGTAGTACTCACTTTTTCTCCTAAAATCGCCTGAACAGGTCAAGCAGTTTTTCCACTTTTTCCACTTTTACTCCTTTTATTTTTCTTTTTTTTCCTCCTTCTATCGCTTGTGAACCATAAATAATGGAAAAAGATTAATGCCTCTTCGGGGAAGGGAATAAATTACGCAGTCACATTTTGAACCTTTTCGAGCTTCTTCTCCTTTTTTATGGCAGCAAAACATGTGTGTGGGGTCATATGGCAAAAGGGTACAGGCCTCTTTTTACTTTTTCCCCCCACTTCTTATTGTGATAAAATTTTAGCGGCGATTGCGGGAGAAGAAGAACGGCGAAATGTGGACCCCCGTGCAAAAGCCACCTTCGCAAGCATTACCTCTTTGTTGTCTCCCATTAGCCGCTTTTCGCCTATGTGCAGCATTAAACTGTGGCGCATCACACGATGTTGAAGTGAAGGGGTGGATGTTCTTCTAACTTTTTAAGAGTGACGTTGTTGCGGTGCCGCTGGCTGGAAGGGTCGGCCAGGAAGAGGTCACAGGATCCCGAAGGAATAACTAAGCAGGCACCTTATGCGCACATGCTTATGTATGTGTATATAGGTACATATATATATATACATTTATGTATGTATTTTTTTTTCTCTCCTCGCCTCATTCGGAATACCGGGGGCTCGCAAAAAATGACACTTCGAGTTTTTTCCCCAAATGGGGGGACCATTCAACCGAGCTGGCGCTAAAGCGCGCAGGGGGTGCGCTCGGCAAGGCGGAGCAGGCAGCAGGGCAGGCAGCAGATCGGTCACCCAAAACAGAGGCCCTGTGGCTAAGCCTGTCACTTACGATCACTTCCACTTCTACTGCGCCTATGCTGGTCTCCCAACTACTTAACACACTCATGCGTGAACGCTTTTTAAAAATTTGGAGAGACGTTTCGCGAATCGGTTGCTAAACCATTTAAAAGATATGGACACACAACGGTGGATCCGTAATGCGAAGTTTTTTTTTTTTATTATTAAGCGAGCACGAAGGGGCCCAGATAAAACATACACACATGTACACATGTGTGTTCAAACAAAAAAAGATCCACAGGGAAGGATTGCGTGTGGATGGAAAGAGAGAGAAACTCGTCGGAGGAGCGAGCACCGCACAAATGTAGGGGTGCAAGAAAAAAAAAAAGGAGGATGATGAGGATGAATACGAAGATGGAGATAAAGCCGAAATGTAGGAACCCCCAAGGTATCGAAAGGGTCGAAATTTTAGAAAATGCGAAAAAACGGGATTAAATAGTGGGAAGTTGTTTCTTCTTCTTCTTGGTCTTCTCGATCGTCTTGATCGTCTCGATCGTCTTGATCGTCTCGATGTTCTTAGCCTTGTCCATCTTCTTGGTGTTCCCCCGCATGTGACACCCTAAAGACTAAAACCTGCGTACAATCTTCTCCTTGCAATCGGAGACCAAATTAACCAGGTCACTAAAAACGTTGTTCAAACTGTTGCGCATATTGTAGTACCTGAAGATGTCCGAATTGGCCACGTGGTATTCTCCAAACATCTTACCCATACCTTTCCGCTTGTCACCACCGAACCGCATTCCATAGACATCTGAGTCTTCTCCGAGATACTTCTCTATGTAGTAGGTTTCTACTTCTGCGTTGAATCGAATTCGTTTGGTTGCTTTGCTTTTTTCTGTATTATCTTCCTTAGCGGGGGCGCAGGAGCAGGAGCTCTTCTTTAATATAGGCTTAGGGAATGTCCTTCCGAGCCTTATGCAAGTGACGCAATAACCCCCAACGATCCCACTAGGTCTATCTTCCTCTGGAGAGTTCACTTCACTTTTGCAGTGGGGACATTTGCGTGTCTTCCTTTGGAGACCCATCTCAGACGAGTCACCCATTATGGTGAGATTATTCTTTTGGCTAAAAAGAGCATCCGTCAGGAGGGTATACAATCGGAGGTAGTTTTGCTTCGTGAGGTAGCTGTGTAGGTAGGGGTCTTGCTGCTCCCCCGGGTGCTGCCCCTTCAGCTTCTCCTCCTGCTGTTGTAACGTGTCGGCACTGGTTTGCTGTCCGTCACTCGCTTGACTTCCTGCTTCACTGCGAACTTCGCTCCTAACACTGCTTGAGTCTCCCTCGGACACACTTGACCCGGTACTGGGGGTGCAGTCATCACTCGGATAGTCTTCACGGCGTTCGGCGGCATTCATGTCAAATTTGATTTTGTCACTTGAGGTGGTGATGTCTTCTGCCTCATGGGGGGGATCAACACTTCTGTGTCTCTTCCCGCCATCAGCAGACTTCCTCTTACTGGTGCGGAGGATTCGAATGAACTTGAGGAAGCTGCGCAGACCTCTGCTGCCTCGCCTTCTACCGCGTGCACCTTTGCTTCTGCTTCCATCGCTGAGGACTCCTCGATCACTACTGACCCCTCCTTCGCTGCTAACCCCTCCTTCGCTGCTAACCCCTCCTTCGCTGC